AACTGTCCTCTAACACGTCCCTCTGCACCTGGAAAAAAGTATGAATATGCTTACGTCAAGAGGCTTTGGTCAATTCAGATACAAATCCTTGGCAAGAATACCGCAAAAGGTGTTGCTCTGTGTTTGTCTGTTCCTCACGCCAAGAAGAACATAATATCCAGCTGTCCCTCTTTTGGTGATGTCGGCTTATCCGAGTCGGGGATGTCAGCGTGCCCTCCCTTGTCAACTTTCCCATCACCCTTTGGCCAAGTGGTTTTACCAGCCGCTGCTGAGCGAAGCCCAGGTGATTATTCTTGCATTACTGGTTGCAGATAGTGAAATCTCTACTTCCATTGATCCTTCTTCACTTAGTAGCTGTCCTTGTCCTAGACCATACGACTCTCATCAACCATTCGGGTACCCTGAAATACCGTCCCTGAAAGGCAGGATACATGCTTGGTAACATCCGTGTTTTGGGTAAGTGTTTGCAGAGTAACGAGCAGTGCTCTGGCAACCTCTAAAAGCATCAGTGAGGTTTGTTTCGAGTTATGTTATGACCTCTTGATTCTGAAAAGATGTTTGGTATGTTTCAAACCATTGCCATCACCATCCTCAGCAGGGCAAGCCCCTGGAGGGGCCCTGTTTTCAGACAGGACAAGGTAGCTCAGCTCATCGTGTGCATTTCTGTCCCAGACCTGGAATCGGCCATTGCTCCGAGGAGTCCTGGTTCCTTTCGGTGGGAAATGTACTTAGAAACCATAACCTGGGCTCCAGGGTGTTTGTGAGTTGGGGGCTGTGATCCCTCCGGCTCCTCTGTGCATAAGGGATGGGAGGGAGAAGACGGAGCAGGGAGTGGGGTCAGGCGGCTTGTGCAACGCTCCAAGCGAGAGACAACCGCGGCTTGAACCTGATCTTAGGTAAAGCACTTAGCGCAGTACTTGGTGCATCATGGAGGGACAATAAATATTAGCACGCTCTTTCACTATTTACTTAATCCGTGTTATGTATTAGTCCACTTAAACCTCACCAGAACTCTGTGAGGAGGACTTCCTGATCATCCTCATTGTATACGTGAAAGAACCAGGGCTCAGAGAGGTGAGGAAACTTGCTCGAGGTCACACAGGAGATAAAGAGCAGAAATAGAACCTCTCCATTGAGTTGTGCACTGGGATCCCAGCGCCCTCCTTCTGGACCTCTCCCTGCTGCAAGGGAGAGAGCCCTCGAGACTGCGATCGATACCCTCCATCTGTACAACCTACAGCTCTTCTGAGTCCCTATTCTCACGATTTAGTCCTTATAACAGCCCCGCGAGCTTGGTGTTATTCAAAAATTCAAACACAACCAACCTTGGAGATTCTCCTGGCTGGTGACAGTGCCAAGACCTGCCCCCCTGGATCCTCCGATTCTGTGTCTAGAGCTGTTCTTACTTATGTCTGGAAGGGGCAGGACAGAGGAGAGGTTGCTCCTTTTCAGGAAGGCAAATCACCCTTGGGGCTCAATTTTCCCCAATATTTGCCTCTAGATTTCCAGAGCTGGCGGAAAGCCCTGAGACACACCTGGCAGCGGAGTGTCTGTCCCCGGTGGGTAAGGTGTGGCTCAAGCTGGGAGAAGGTGGCCAGGCCTCTGCTTTGGACATCTGCGTGGGGTGGCCGGGCTGACCTGTATACATACATGCACCTTCTCAGCCCGCCTCCTGCCAGATCACTCCACTATCCATACTGCAAGGGTCCTGCCCCAGTACTAGCCTGGGCGGAGGCCTCCAGCCAGCAGGGCCGGGACAAAGCATTGCACACAGACCCTCGGTCTCTCAAGGGCCGGCCAGCACCTCCCTGAGTAACAACATAAAGAAGAAAAATAACTACAACAATCACGGCAGCTACTCCTGGTTGCCTGGGTAAGCAATCTACCTAACGTGAGCTCATTTAACCATCCCAACAGGCTGATGAGGTTGGTGCTATTATTATACCCACGTTACAGGTGAGGAAACTGAGGCTCCTGTCAGCTCCTCTGCCTGTGGTCACAGAGCTTGTAAGTGGTGCAGCCGAGATTCTAGCCCAGGCACTTGGACTGCAGTGTCTGAGCTCTCGAACTGCACGGAGGCTGTGACCCTGCCTCGCTTCGGTCCCCATCTGCTGCCCCTCGGCATGCCACCTTCCTCTCAGCCCCAGGCAGACTGGCCTTGTTTGGTCCCTGGAGAGTCCCAGGCTCCGTCCTGCTTCTGGGCTTTTGTGCATCCTGCTCCAACACTCTTCCTCCGCCTCCCCGCCCCGGCACCTTTTCCTGGCTGGATCACACTCCCTCTCGTCCCAGCAGAAACGCCTGCTTTCAGAAGGCCTCGCCTCCCCTCGCAGACCAAGGCAGCGTCCCTCGTCCCACACCACGAGCTTCTCCTCCGTGGCGATTCCCCTGGTTGTGCCCTTAGCTTTGATTTTGTTTGCCTGCCCGTGAGATCATAAACCCACGAGGGCAGGGCTGGGCCATTCCTGTCCTGTTCCTGCACCAACCCTGGCAGGGCGCTCAGGAAGCACCCGCCGATGAATGAGCGAATGGCTGAAGAAGGCAGAGTCACAGCACAGCAGGAATAGAGGAGAAGGAGGACAGAATTCCACCTGTGAAGGTGACAAGGGCCCAGGACCTAGGAGAGTGGGACGGTGGACTCCAGCGGTTTCTGCAGGGACGATTTAAGTGAGACCCTGGCCGAACAGATCAGCCTAACAGGCCTTTGAGACAGACAACACGTTTTCTTCCATTGGAGGTGGCAAAACTGCTTCTCTTACTTTCCTCCAAGGCAGGAGCCGAACTGGAACCATTCGGGCAAGTTTTGCCTGGCCCGGCAGATTCACCACATCAGGAGTTTGGTTTGGCTCAACAAGCGTCAATTGAGCACCTACAGTGTGCCAAGCACTGCACGTTTCTGGGTCAACACTCCCGGAGCACCGTGGGAGGCGTGGCCGTCTACTCCTTTCCTGACTGGGAGGAAACTGAAATGTACAGCCTTTTCTTAAATGGGTTTTTTTCCCTGAAGTTGTTCCAAACTCAGAAGCCTCTGATGCTCCACACCTGTACCTGACTCTCGGATGGAGTGGTTTGGAATTTGGCACAAAACTTGAGATGTAGTTATGTCATGTTTACGCTAACAGTATTGGCTGGGGTTCCCAAGGACCCAGATGCTATAACATGTTGTAAGTCTGAGAACTACTGACCCTCTTTGGGTCTCTTTCCCAGGCTCTGATTCCGCTGATCCAAGAGGGTAGCCCATTAAACAACCGCATCTACAGCCTGCTCACCTCCACCTGTTACAAACCTAGCTTAGTCATCAGGCAGCCTGGGATTGAATGCCATGTATCTCCAAGCTGTGTGACTTCAGACAAGTCACTCCACCTCTCTGGATGTTGGATTCTCATCTGTGAAATGGAATCAGGAATAATACTTCCCTGGTAGGGCTGCTGTGAGGAGTAAACAAGATTCTGAATACAAGAGGCTTATTGTGATGGGAGGAATTGTTGTTATTGTTTTTTTGTTTGTTTTTGTTTTTGTTTTTGAGACAGAGTCTCACTGTGTTACCCTGGCTAGATTGCCGTGGCATCAGCCTAGCTCACAGCAACCTCAAACTCCTGGGCTCAAGCAATCCTCCTGCCTCAGCCTCCCAAGTAGCTGGGACTACAGGCATGCGCCACCATGCCCGGCTAATTTTTTCTATATATTTTTAGTTGTCCGATTAATTTCTTTCTAATTTTTAGTAGAGACAGGGTCTCACTCTTGCTCAGGCTGGTCTCGAACTCCTGAGCTCAAACGATCCTCCCGCCTCGGCCTCCCAGAGAGCTAGGATTACAGGCATGAGCCACTGCGCCCGGCCTTGTTATTGTTAATTATTAATATAAGGCCCCTTAGTGTTTGTAGTCAGGGAGTGCTGGAGAGCAGAGTCTCTCTCTAGAAATAATGGTTGCGATTCCTTTTTTTTTTTTTTTGAGATAGAATCTCACTCTGTTGCCTGTGCTAAGAGTGCCGTGGTGTCATCATAGCTCAATGCAACCTCAAACTCCTCAGCCTCCCGAGTAGCTGGGACTACAGGCACGTGCCACCACACCTGGCTAATTTTTCTATTTTTAGTAGAGATACCCTCCATCTGTACAACCTACAGCTCTTCTGAGTCCCTATTCTCATCATTTACTCCTTATAAGAGCCCCGTGAGGTTGGTGTTATTCAAAAATTCAAACAGAGAACCAACCTTGGAGATTTTCCTGGCTGGTGACAGTGCCAAGACCTGCCCCTCTGGCTTCCCCAGAGGACCGACAGGTTAGAGTCTTAGAGTCCCACATCCTCCCCAGGCAGGAGGGTGTGACAGGGTGTGACAGGGCCCTTCTAGACCCGGCTGACCCCTGCTGAGTGGCCACTGTCCCTCTCATGCCTTCTGCTGGCCACGCTGCCCTTTCAAAACTCCCCAGTCTGCTCCCTTGGGGCTCCCTGCTCAGGCCACCCTGGCCGGCCCAGTTAGCCAGTGGGTACAGACCCCCGTCATGGTAACGTGGACGACGCAGTGTGGAAATGAGCTGTTCATTTGTCTGTCTTCCCTGACTGATCAGGTCGTCCCTGGGCACATGGACTAAGTGTCACCCAGCTTGGTGCTTGGCACTGTCAGGCAGCGTGCAGGTCAAGGCGGTCGCCAGTCAGCTTCTCACACCTTGGCAGCCACGCTTGCTCCTATCCGTTTAATCATCTCAGAATTTGCGAAAGGACGTTGCACCACCTGCCTGCCAGCTGGCGGGTCCCCAGCCACCTCTGTTTTGTTCTTTCCGTGGTGTCCGCGGGGGTCAAACTCATGTTGTGCTGAGCCCCGTCCTCCCTCCCGGGCAGGCGTCCAATAGATGAACACGCAGGGACAGGAGCTGCCTCCGTCCTGTTTTCCCGTCTACTTGTGTCATAGGAGCGTTTAAAACCCTCTCCCGCGTTACGGAGTTGGGCAAGGGGCTGACTGCATGAGCCGTGAAGTAAGGCTAAGTACAGGAAGGTGGCAGGTCAGAGGGAGGTGGTCCTGGGGGCCAGCAGGCCCCTGAGAGCGTGCGGAGGCAGCCTCTTAGGCCCCTAAGCTGGGGGTCGGAGAGCTGAGCGAAGACCTTCACAGACGGCTTGGATTGGCGGGTGCGGAGAAAGGCCTGCTGCACGCCCAGCGTGGGGAGACACGCACCCACGTCGGCGCGCTGGCCGGTCCAAGCCCCTCCCCTGTGGCCTGATGCACGCCACCAGCCTCCTGCTGAAAGGTGACACCCCACAGGCCAGGTTCCCTTAGTCACCCTGTGGGAGCCTGTCGGACTCGCACCAGAATGGAGCTGGTGGCCGTGTCCCTTGTGACGGTGAGTGCCAGCAAGTGCTCAGGAGTTGCTGGGAGGAAAAATCAAAGCGGGGTAGGGGTTGCTGGGGGCTGTCATCCTGTCCCCTTTGTCCTTCAAAGGCCTCGCTAGATATGGGGACGTGTCTGCTGTGTGGGGAGCTGGAACAGAAGCTCCCAGCCCTCACCCCTTCCCTGCCCTTGACTTGGCCACCGGCCAGCACTTGTTGGGACCAAGCGGTTCCCTGCATTCATTTTGTGTGCGTGTGGCGGGGCCATGACTGCTCTGGCACCAGGCAGCTGTTGCTTGGGTTCAGTTTGCAAGAAATTAAAATTAGCTTTGGCTGGCGTCCGGTTTTCAAGTGAGCTGGGATGTTTCAGCGAAGGGCAACAGCTTGCCGTGATATGGGCCACAGAGCTTCCTCGGAAGGACTCCTCTGGCCTTTCCTGTGTGTGGCATCAAGCCGCGTGATCAGTGCTCATTCTAGACCACTGCCCACGTCTGGCAATGTTAGCTAACAGTGGATCTGTGGCTCCAGCTTAAAGGTGCACAGCCAGGTGTCTGTCTGCTTTTAGGACTGTATCTTTACGCCCCTTGTACCACACTCCGCCTTCTGGAATTTATTTAAACCCACGGTGGTGGTGGGCAATGGGAAAAGTATGGGTGTTGGGCCCCAACTTGAGCAAGTTACTGAGCTTCTCTCTGAGCCACAGTGTACCGAACTGTAAAATGGAAGTAAAATAATGACAATGACAATACCCATCGAGTCGTTCCGAGGCTTGGAGGCAGGGCGAAGGTGGGGCGTCTTGGAAGCTTGAAGGCACCCGACGAACCTGACGGCTCAGGTGTGTGTAGATGCTGCCTATGGACAGATGTTATCCAGAGAGCCATGGCGAGGCCGGTAAATGGGACAAGAATTAGTATCCCCATTTTATAGAAGAACAAACTGAGGCCCCAAGAGTTTCTTCAGTAACTTTCTCAAACTGTTGCCCCATTTGTTTCTCTTGGGAGAAGTTCTCCTGTGGTGACCTTTGGGTCCCAGTCACTACTCTGCAGAGAAAGGGAGAAGACCCTGAGGGTTTTTATGCAGATGAAGGTAACCCTGGCAAGGAAGGTCTGGGGAATTAGATCCACTGGAGCCACAGCTGATCTTAAAGGATGCGCAGAAGGAGAGAGGGCCACACTGGGGAAAGGGCTGGGCACTCCTTTCGTTAGAGCTTCCGAGCATAGCTCGGCAGCATGAGCTGCCATCCCTCTATCACCCGCCATGCCTGTCTAGCCCCCTTGCCTGTCTGCCCATCCACCTGCCTCCGCTGCACGCGCCACCTACCTGTCCTTTTATTCATAGTCCCGGTCAGCCAGGATTGCTTGAGCAAGTTCCCAAAGAGCTTACAAAATGCAAAACTTGCATAACGTGATTGGCTTTCCCATGGGAATCAACGTAAAGAATGTGTTCTCAGGGCTCACAGATGCCGAAGCATTGTAGCGCATTTTTGTTTTGATGTTGCACTTTTTTTTTTTAGCAGTAGCTCAAGTATTTTTCAGTTGGGGTAGAGGTAATGTTATGCATTTGCTATTTCTCATATCTCATGGTTGCAAATGTGCACGTTTAAAATTTGCCTAAAATCGGCCACATTCGCATAAGGTGCTCTCCTTCGGAGCTGCCGTGGAGACACCCGGCTCGTCCCCCTGAGGTTCCCGAACGCAGTTTCAGAAATGAGACGCTAAAAGTCAAAATTCCAGCTTGGTTCAAACCATCGGTTGGTGCTCAATACGTGTTCATGGATTTATTCATTTATTCAGCACACGGTTTTTGAGTACCTACTATGTGCCAAGCACCAAGCTGGGTAGAAGGTTCCATACATGAATGACACTTAGTCCATGTCCCCAGGGACGACCCGATCAGTCAGGGAAGACAGACAAATGAACAGCTCATTTCCACACCGCGTCGTCCACACTACCATGACGGGGGTCTGTACCCACCGGCTAACTGGGCCGGCCAGGGTGGCCTGAGCAGGGAGCCCCAAGGGAGCAGACTGGGGAGTTTTGAAAGGGCAGCGTGGCCAGCAGAAGGCATGAGAGGGACAGTGGCCACTCAGCAGAGGTCAGCCGGGTCTAGAAGGGCCTGTTCACCCTGTCACACCCTCCTGCCTGGGGAGGATGTGGGACTCTAAGACTCTAACCTGTCGGTCCTCTGGGGAAGCCAGGAGAGCTTTTTGGCGATGCCACCCGCCAGTTACTCATGTTGAAATTTTTCCTGTGGGCAGGTGTGAGCCAGCTGTTTCAGGATTCTGACCTTTCTTACTGACACTTGAAAAAACTTTTACTGAGGATTTACTATGTGCAGGAGAAACAGTCACAAGAAAAAATGGACTCTGCCGCCAGAAGCTCCCAGCTCGCCATTCAGAAGCAAGAGGAAGGCAGGGAGTAGGCGCGGGCATTGAGACCAGTGGTTCTCAACCAATGGCAGTCTTGACCGCACCGTGGGACATTTGTCAATGTCTGGAGACATTTTTGGTTGTGGCAACTGAGGGAGGAGATGCTACTGGCATCAAATGAGTAGAGGCTGGGGTTGCTGCTCAGCATACTATAACACACCAGACAGCCCCCACCACAAAGAATTCTCTAGCCCCAAATGTCCAGATGATCTTCCATGCTTGGGAAGTCCTGGCATAAGAACAAGCCCTGGGCATCAGAAAGGCATCCACAGTGCTGCTATGTATTGGTTTGGGTCCCTTTTTTCAATTCTTTTGGGATGTACCTTGGAGTGAGATTGCTGGATCTTTTGGTAATTCCACGTTGAGATTTTTTAGGGAAGCACCAAAGTGTTTTCCATAGCAGCCACACCGTTTTAAATGCCACCAGCTATGGTCAAGAATTCCAATTTCCTCCTCACCAACACTTACGACTCTCTCTTTCTCTCTCTCGTTTGCATCGCAGCCATCCTACTGGCTGTGAAGTGGTATCTCACTGTGGTTATGATTTGCATTTTCCTAATGGCTAAGGATGTTGAATGTCTTTTCATGTGCTTACTGACCATTTATTTATCTTCCTTGGAGAGATGTCTATTCAAGTCCGTTGTTTGTCTTTTTGTTGTTGAGTAGTAGGAGTTCTTTATATATTCTGGACACTAGGTCCTTATCAGATGTATGGTTTGCGAATAGTTCTCCCATTCTGTAGGTTGTCTCTTCACTTCTTTGATAGCATCATACGATTCACAGAAGTTTTTTAATTTTCATGAAGTCACATGTACCTATTTTTTTTTTTTTTATGTTTCTCATGCTTTGGGTGTCATATCTAAGAATCCATAGTCATGGATGGATTTATCCAAGGTCATGAAGATTTATCCCCATACTTTCTTCTAAGAGTTGTAAGATTTTAGCTCATATATTTAGGTCTCTGATCCATTTTGAGTTAATTACTGTATGTGGTATGAAGTGTGGATTCTCTTCATTCTTTTGCATGTAGAAATCCTGTTGTCTCAGCACCATGTGTTGAAGAGACTATTCCTTCACCATTGAATGTTCTTGACACCCTTGCCAAAAATAAATTGTCCGTAGATGTATGGGTTTGATTTTTAAGTACTGCACTGTTTTTTTTTGCTATAGCTTTGTAGTAAGTTTTGAAATTGGGAAATGTGAGTCTTCCAACTTTCTTCTTTTTAAAGATTGTTTTGGCTAGTTGGGGCCCCTCATAATTCCATATGAATTTGTTTATCTCTTTGAGTATTATGGCCATCGTAACAATAAGTCTTCCAATCCATGAGCATGCCATGTCTT